AACAATTTGGGGTCTGACACAGCTTCTTCAGCTTGTTTTTAGGTTCTTTCCTTCCATTGTCTCACATGACTTAAGGACTGACACAACAGGATGAAGACCATCTTTGTTTTAATGTGTGTGCAATCTGTGGCCATCCAGATGTTTTGGCCCACAGTTTCTGTGATTGCTTACATGACTGGCTATGCTAGTTAACACTGACAGCAGTTGTAAGCCAACACTCCTGGAAAGCTACAAATTGCTCATCACTGGTCCAATGGGCAGACAAATCAACTAATGATGTAACCCATGTACTGTCAAAGGGCAATTTCAATGAAACAGTTTAAATTTTAACTGTGATTTGAGGGCATGGTTGCTTGTTTCTCTTTTTAGGACATGGTGGTTCTCCCTTGTTACTGAAATAAGAAATGAAACACGTTGCAGGTGGCATTTTCTTCTTACCACCAGCAAGTGGCAGCTTTCAATTATTATGCTGTTAAGAAACAACCTGCTACTTGACAAGCCCAACAAAAACAGTTGTTAAATGATTTTTTTTCTGCCAAGCTAATGAATATTTGAAAGAGGATTTTTCAATATGTTGCAACTTCATCTTTTCTACAGATTGGTACAGTAAGTTCAAGCTGTTTGCCCTGGTCACTCTGTGTGAGTCATTCAATCTGTCAACTTCCTATTTCCAAAATTACAAAAGAATATATTTAGTTCCTTTCTGAAAAAAGAAAACAGAAAATTCTGACTTTGAAGAGATATAATATGTAGCAGGAAACCCAAAGCAGATGAATAACGGAGGGTATTTGCAAGTTAATTTTGACTATGTGGGCCCCCTTCCAGACAGTATCAAGGGCTGAACAAATCCCAGCTGATGAGAGTGGGCATGCAGCTGCTCACATAAGGAGTCCGAACGCAAGCTCTAATGATTGCAGATGCCAGTGCCTGTGAGGCAAACACTGTAGCAGGACTGCTAGCACTTAATAGTACCATCAGCATGCACCGCTTATCTGGCTCTCTCTGGGCATGAACCACTGATATTTTATTTCCCCAAAATATGTGTCTCTAGGACATCATTCATCTTAACTAGTATCCAAAATCACCAGGGTTCTTCCCCCCGCCCCCAATCTATCTTGCAGACAATGACTGAGGATCAACTGCAGGGCAGAATTTTACCATGCCTTATCAACTCTTGTACAGGGATTGTGCATGCACTTTTGTACAGAAGTACAATATGTACAACTGATTACATTTTGAAGAAATATCTAGAAGGAATATTTACTGAGCAATGATTTGAAACTCCTTCAGCATTACTGATAATACCCCTATTTGCATGTAAGGCTAAACCTTGCCCTTTGTACCTCTCCTGCCCAGCATGGTCACGGGGAAACTGGACATTTCTGTTTCCCTTTTAGAGTTCTTATAGTTTAGCTATACCACCCTAAATTATGCTTAGTGAAAAGAGGTCAGATCAGTGCCTCGGATGTCAAACTATGAAGTCAGTTTGTTTTCACTTACCATAGTTATATTAACCACTTTTGTCTGGACAAAATGGCAAGCTGTGGTTTAATTAAAGGGGGAAAAGGAAGCAAAATGCTATCCTCCTAGATACAGCTTGTTGGAGTAAGTCTTATTTATTTATACTTATTTAATTTATACATACATAATAGGACATACATTTATACCCTGTCCTATTGCTTCAAGCGCTCAGGATGGCTTACAAGATATACAGTATATCACAGAAGTGAGTACACCCCTCACATTTTGTAAATATTTTATTACATCTTTTCATGTGACAACCCTGAAGAAATGACACTTTACTACAATGTAGTGAGTATACAGCTTGTATAACAGTGTAAATTTGCTGTCTCTTCAAAATGACAACACATAGCCATTAATGTCTCAACTGCTGTCAAGAAAAGTGAGTACACCCCTAAGTGAAACTGTCCAAATTGGGCCCAAAGTGTCAAAATTTTGTGTGGCCACCATTATTTCCAGCACTGCCCTAACCCTCTTGGGCATGGAGTTCACCCGAGCTTCACAGGTTGCCACTGGAGTCCTCTTCCACTCCTCCATGATGACATCACGGAGCTGATGGATGTTGGGCTCCTCCACCTTCCATTTCAGGATGCCCTTCGATAGGGTTTAGATCTGGAGACATGCTTGGTCAGTCCATCACCTTTACCCTCAGCTTCTTTAGCAAGGCAGTGGTTGTCTTGGAGGTGTGTTTGGGGTCATTATCATGTTGGAATTACTGCCCTGCAGCCCAGTCTCTGAAGGGAGGGGATCATGCTCTGCTTCAGTATGTCACAGTACATGTTGGCATTCATGGTACCCTCAATGAACTGTAGCGCCCCTGTGCCGACAGCACTCATGCAGCCCCAGACCATGACACTCCCACGACCATGCTTGACTGTAGGCAAGACACACTTGTCTTTGTACTCCTCACCTGGTTGTCGCCACACATGCTTGACACCATCTGAACCAAGTAAGTTTATCTTGGTCTCATCAGACCACAGGACATGGTTCCACTAATCCACGTCCTTAGTCTGCTTGTCTTCAGCAAACTGTTTGCAAGCTTTCTTGTGCATCACCTTTAGAAGAGGCTTCCTTCTGGGACAACAGCCCTGCAGACCAATTTGATGCAGTGCGCGGCATATGGTATGAGCACTGACAGGCTGATCCACCACCCCTTCAACCTCTGCAGCAATGCTGGCAGCACTCATACGTCTATTTCCCAAAGCCAGCCTCTGGATATGACGCTCAGCACCTGCACTCAACTTCTTTGGTCAACCATGGCGAGGCCTGTTCTGAGTGGAACCTGTCCTGTTAAACTGCTGTATGG